GGTCCTAAAAATAAACAAAGGAAGTGTGAAACTTTAGGAAAGTTAGGATTTCTGATAATGAAAATAGAAAATATTAAAATATTTTAATGAAATAATATAAAAAATTTATTAAAAATATTTGAATAATTTCACAGAATCTTATGTCTAGATATTTACTTTTCTCATCAATTATTTATTTATTAGAGTTTGATATATTGTAGTTCGAACCAAAGAACACAAACCTTAGATGAAGGGGTTCTCTCCTCATATGAGGCTTTCTCTTAAGAGTCTTTTTAATTTACATCTTAAAAACACAAATTAAAAGTGTATTTATTATATTTTTTTTATTATTAAATTATATAAAATATTATGAAAATAAATGTTATTTTCAACATCAATACTACTTGAAATATTTTAATTGAACAATTGATAAAACTTAAGTCATCTTTTTTTTTTTTTTCTAAGCAAATTAAAGGTGAAAAGATGCAAAAATCGCACATTTAATCTATGTTCAAATTCCTTCTCTTAATTTAATTATTAATATTTTTTAATTTGAACTGTAAAATATTTATTTATTATTAGTATATATAGTTCTTGATGCATGCAGGCTTTTCCTTCGGAGATTAGCAAGGAAAAACAAAAGATAAAGGTGGATATATAGTTACATATATGATAGAGGGGGAAAAAAAAAATCAAATTTAGCAAATTGCCAATCGACATGATTTTCATGACTATATTACTTTTTTCAATTTATCTTTGTAAGTTGGTATCTACCAACCCTAATCTGCAAATAGAAATTAAAAAGAATGCAAAATCACTAAGTCAGCTTTATAAACAATGTACTCATGTCATGAGGTTGAATTAAACACTAATAGGTATACCTTTTGATATAATATATTATACAATATATTCATTAAAAAATTATTATTTTTTAATCTAAAATTAAATACAAATAAACTTAAAGATGTTCAAGAATGTTATCATCCGGAAAGCTTCAAATTAAAGAACACATATGATTCAAGATACCATCCTACTCTAATTCAATATTACAATGAGTATAAGCCAACTATCTAAGTAGCTCAAGAATAATTTCTTTATTTTGGAAGAAAAAGTTTTAAATTTGAATTGCATACTATTTGGATAGGATGAATTAATTAAAGGATGAGATAAAATTATTTTTCGTTGTACATTAATATATAGTAATTTAAGGACACTCAAATTACATTGTGTGTGTTTGAATTGATTGATATTTGATTATAATCTATGGCTTTTTTTTAAATAGCTGATTATAAAGTCTAAAAACAGTAGCTTAAATTGATTTTAATATGTAAATTAATAAATATTAATTAGTTATTCCGATAATTAAATCAAATAAAACTAATATTTTTAAAGGCAATACTAACAAATTTGTATAATCTTAACAAATTATTATAAGAAATAACCATGCCCCAATGGGTAGTGGTTCTGCAAATCTCTTGGCTCTAAACGACCATCTAAAGCATTTCCTGGTACTTGGCACTAGTGGAATCAACTCCCTCCTTGAAACGCTCTCGAACATGCGAAATGTAGCTCTCCGCCTTCACGTCCACGTTCTCATCACCTCCATATCCGCCCCAAGCTGGGTTCGTGTAGCCTTTACTAGCAGCATTTACGAACCCATTTGGGTGGGAGAGAGTGGCAGTAGCAGCTGGCGTAGAGCTAGCATACGACATCCTCTTCAGCGACCAATGGTTCGAACCATTCTGGTTCATCAGTGGCGGGGACGACGGGCCGGATCTCACTTTGCTGCTGCAATGCGGCTGACAAGTTCGGTTGGTCCCTAGACCGAAGGATTTCGCCAATTTGCTCTTAATAGTCCCTTTCTGCTTCTGAGTCGCTTCCATTTCCAAGAAAAACGGAGTATTCAGTACACAAAGGTAGCAAGAGATTTCGGGTTGTAGAAGAAGATAGGCAATGTCTCCTTTATATAGAGGTTCAAATGCTGCACAGCACCTCAAGTGGCAGAATACACCCATACCCAATTTCTAAAATAAAGAAATTAAGTGACCCAATAATCCTCTACAAGGTATTTTCGTGGGAATTTGGGGGAAAAGTAGGGTTTGCAGATAAACATGAATGAAAGAACATTGTAAACTCCTATTTTGTAAGAGAATATATTCCTTATCCCAATTTTGCTTTTGTTCTGGCATAGTGGGAAAGATTATCAAGAATTCCCCGAAGATACTTCCATACGGATGCAGCAAGATCGGTGCTTTTTTTCGCAAATTTTCTGAACCAAAAGATGAAAAACTTTCGACGCAGATTCCGATTGAATTCTTTTTCATTAGTATATACTCTACGCGGTGAGGTGGACGAAAGGTGAATTTTTAGCGTCGAAATGCAAAAATCAGTCTGAACATAGCTCAAGCTGGTCAAGTTTTGGAAGAAACAGTGAAGAGAAGGACTCGTGATTTCTAATTCATTTCCAAACCGAAAGATAGTTGGGCACGAAGTTGATGCTTTATTATTCGAAAATTATTGATGGGATTTGGTCTATTGTTCTCTGTTTTTGTAAACTCTTTAGGAGGAATAGAACGCCAAGCATCATCCTTGTCTGTGCCGTTGTCTGGGGTAGATATGTGTTGCTTTTATTTTGTTTGGCCCAGAATATGCCGTGAGATAGGCAACCGAATACGTACACTGGCCTTGGCCTAATTTTGTTTTTTCGCCTTTGTGTCATTTCATCGAAAGGATAGAAGACATTTTGATACTACAGGCGATGCTCGATGTGCTTTCTTTTCAACTCGTGCGTTTAGATAAAAATTAATAAAATAAATAAATAAATGGTAAAAGAAAGAAAGA